ATTTTTTAGATACAAAAGACGCAACATTTCATGTAAATTACTGAAGAAAATGTCAAGGATATAACATGACTGGACAAAACTAACCCTAAAAATACATATTTTTTTTAGATCCCTGTAAGATGGATGGATTAGTAATAATTTCTTGTCACTACAATTAGCGCCATCTTCAACTTTTGAAACGCTATATTATCTCAAAAATAGTAATTACTATTTTTGATATACAGCAGTTGCGCTGCTAAAAAAAGTGTTAAGTATATTTTTTTAAACGATGATTGCATAACCTACAACTTTTCTCTGACGTATTTTACGTAAAAAAAAAGTAATTCAGCTTGAATCACTTATTTTGCAGATGCGTGATTGAAGGGGACTGTTCCCAATGGGGAGAGAACAACAATACAGTACAGTAGTAAAACTAATATATAAAATAAACATTGATCCAGTATGCGTATTTATCCTGCAATCGAATATTAATCATTGTTTGCGAATAATGGTTTAACTCACTGATACACAATACGGTCGTCCATTGGTAAGTAAAAAGCAAAGCAAAGCCATTGGTCAGCAGCGATCTGATCCCATTGCTTAAGAGGGCTTCAATGACGGGAAAGGAGTTTGGGGAAAAACCGCGATTACTTGCATCATTAACACCCGTTACAAGGCTGCGTGACAACTCTTTACTTTATCTTCCTCTGAGTTACACCAATTTTAGAAAAAATTGAAAAATCGCTGAATTGAACAAACTAAATAGTGACAGGCGCTTTGATATTCCTAGTACAAGTACTGGTATTGCTAAAACATATCTGACAGATTTGTTGATAGTGTTACCTCTACTACTATGTAAATCATGACTCTTGGCTCTGCATGTATTTTAATTTATTTTAATTATTACTTAGAATATAACTTACTAGCTGACCCTGCAAACGCAGGCGCTTTGATATTCCTAGTACAAGTACTGGTATTGCTAAAACATATCTGACAGATTTGTTGATAGTGTTACCTTTACTACTACATTGTAAATCATGACTCTTGGCTCTGCATGTATTTTAATTTATTTTAATTATTACTTAGAATATAACTTACTAGCTGACCCTGCAAACGCTGTTTTCCTATTTACATTATTAAAAAAAAATTTTTTTTTGAATTTCTTAAACTCCGTTCTTAGCTGACCTCTACTCGGTGAAAAGAATATTCCTACCAAATTTCAAGTCTTTAGCTTTAATGGTTCCAGAGATATCGTGATGAGTGACTATATACGTGGAAATCTCTTATATATATATATAGATGTAGATTAATTTTGTGTATCTGTGAAAGCTTGTTATTAGCATTTCAATAACTAAATTGTTTATGTACTTGTGTACGGTAGCTTTTAGTCACAGATTACCCCTAATAGATTCCGCATACAGGGTCACAAAGGCGCGAACACATACTTGCTGTAGCTAACATACAAAGTGACGATAAGAATAAGGACATTAGTAACGACCAAGTTTGTGACGTACGGGTCACAAACTTGGTCGTTACTAATGTCCTTATCCTACTACTATCCGAGTTCTAGAAAATAGTTTTATATCAAAATATATTAGAAATGGCTTCCTATACAGTGAAATGGTGATGTACGGTATCAGGTTTTCAAGGAATCCCAATAGCTTATGACACAATAAAATTAATTACAAAGATGCTTAATGAAGATAAACACATAGTCCTTCAATGGGTTCCCTCACACATTGGTTTAGGAGGTAATTCTATAGTAGATTCCTTAGCAAAACAGTCAACATTTATGGGTATATCAGTTCCTCGTGAACCTTATTTTACTGACTTGTTGCCGTTGATCAGAGAACGCTGCATTAACATATGGAAAGAGTACTTTGATGAAAGGTCTCGTACTGTTGGTATTTGGTATAAGACAATACAACCATACCCCTCGCCCGTTCTTTGGTTTGCGGACTCCGATCTGTCGGGACAGGAAGTTGTCACTGCCCTTAGACTTCGTTCTGGGCATATGCCTTTAAATAGCATCACATATATGATGAAAAAAAGTTCTTCACCTAACTGTACTATTTGCAATGTTAGAGAAAATGTTTATCACATAATGGTAGAATGCCTAAGAAATAAGGCTGAAAGAGATCGGTTTCAAATGAAACATGGCATATCTCTGCGTTCTGTTGGAGTTTGTAACACCATTTTGTCTATGCCCGTGTCAGACCAAGCGAAACTGTTGTACAAAATTGTTAATTTAGGTTTTAAGAATATATGTAGTTGATTGATGTAATTGTATAAGTAGTTTCCTATGGGGGTGACATGATCACTTCGTGATCAAACCCGCACCTTTTGGTAAATAAAGAAAAAAAAATAGTGAAATGGTGTGGCAAGACATCCAGTTTTCAAAAAGAAAGTATAAAATTTCATCGGTAAGTAAATTATATTTTTATCACGTTAACCTTGTTATTGCAAAAGTACTAGAGTTCAACTTATAATGGTGCAAAGTAATAACAATTAAGCACCCGTTGATATCTTTTTGAACTGTCCCTTTCACTCATTACGTAAATTACGATAGTTGTCTTTGTCTAATGACAGCACGTGAATCGATAGTGTTGTGATTTATAGGTTGATATTTGTATGACCAAACAAATATCGATGATTTATAGGTCGGTATTTGTTTGGTCATTCTTTGATTTTTTTATTGAAGTCATTATTTTGTAAAAAAAATGTGTCGTGTCATTGTGGTATATGTTACTGGTTTCCTAAATGCCCCAAAAGAAAAATATGTACACTCACAGGTTTTTCAAGAATTATTTTAAAATTATAATATTTACCACAAAAAATTAATTGTAGATGTTTTCATTTACAAAAGAAAGTAATCAAATTTCGCAAATGGGAATTTTTAAAACTTGTTTTTGTTCACCTGTAAAGTACTGTATCTTTACTTGTATCACTTCACAGGAGGCACAGAAATATAATATATACATTGTTTTATTTAATAATAAATACCAAATATACATTGATGTGTCCGTGTAGTGACGGATTAATAATACGGAAAGTCACTACCCCCAATTCATCCCGTGGGTGTCGTAAGAGCCGACTAAGGGTGCAAAACAACGCAGGACACCAGCACTGCAAAAAGAAGGAAAACTTGACACAAACCCTATACTAACCGGTCTGGCCAGCGTGGTATAGTAGGCCAAAACTTCCTTTCTAAAGAGAGGCCTATGTCCAGCAGTGGACCTGCCTTTAATAAGGCTGTTGATGATGTGATGTGATAACCGACATACAAGCGGGAGCAGCCGCGCTACAAGCTAGTCAAAAATAAAATAAATATCAATAATTCAGATCATCAAACCATTTTATAGATCAACGTCCCAACCCTGTCCCATCACTTTGGTTTGGTACATTTTATGTTTGAAGTTGAAATGTCCAATCAAAGCGCATTTGACTTATCGCGCCGCAACCCTTGCATACCGCCAAATTTGGTGAACTCGAATCGGAACAAATATTCAAGCTTACAGTACAGATTACCTATGAGGTAATCTGTACTGTAAGCTCTCTAAATAAAATGATATAAATACCAAATCTCAAGAATGAGATATAAACGAGAATCCAAGATAGTGTCAATACAGTTTACATCTCATCATAAAACATAGTCTTATTTAGTTGAGCTGATTGTGAAATTATTTTTGACTTTCCATTTATAATTCCTTATTTTTTACCTGAAATATAACGTAGGTTTCACAAACAAACATACTATCGCATTTTTATCATTTTAGTAGCAAACTAATCAGAAAAGTTATGAGGTCGTAATATTCTTTGAACTCGTTGAAACTTGAAACTTCACCGCGGATCAATTTTGCATAAGTGTGCTTATGCATAATTGATCCGCGGTATCATGTTGTAATCTATAAAACAAAGTAATACGACCCAAAAAAAACAATTTTTCCTTTTTTTTATGAATAAGTTTTTTACGTACTGGTGTTTTGCTCAAACTTTTTAAATAAAAAACTAGTCAAAAATACACGTGTACTACTACTACTAGTCAAAAATTTACAAAAAAAATAAGATAAGCAAGAAGCCGAAGCCAAAAAAATATGGCGAGTTGTCTGCGAGATAAATAAGTTCAGTGACCTTTAGTCTCAGTGATTATGTCGTGTTGCGTGTATAATATTTTAAGCAAATATATGTGATGGCGTCCAACAGTTTAAACCATTTAAAAACAGCCGCTGTATTTTCTATGCAGAAAGAGACAATAAAAAAGTTTATTGTTTTATTAGCTGACTTTTTGCTTTTATAGAATTTACTATAGTGTTTTTATTGTATTTCTAGAAAGTAATGATATTAATTTGTAAATGGAAGGTTTACTAAAAAAATAGAGGCTCGAACTGTATACCGACCTACAGACAGTGTAGCAGTCGTTTCAAGTAGGTTTACCAACCTCACACAAATCAACACATATATTTCGATGGTTTTAAGGTCTCCTCTGAACGCCATTTCTTTCTCCCCTCTTTTATCTGTTCTAAATAACAACCCCAGTTACAAAGTCCTAACATTAAATAATATTAGTCTAAGACAGCCGACAACCGTATCTCAATAAATAGATGTATTTAAGATTTTTCCAATTGAGTTCAATTAAAATAAATTACTAAACTAATTGGTATTCCAGCCTTATAGTAATGAAAATATAGGAGTCGCAAATATTGTATATAGGAACAGTAGATAATACTTAATATCCCTGGCTTAGTTATAAGGTACTTCCCTGATATCACTGATAAACAAACTATATCCACACTACTATTATAAATGCGAAAGTGTGATAGGTGATAGTAGTAGTAGGTTAAATTTAGTGTAGAGATAGTTTGAGTCCCGGGAAAGGCATAGGCTCCTTGTTACCGCCTATAACCGACATACCCGCGGGCGAAGCCACGGGCGAAAGTTAGTACTACTATAAATATAGGTAATTGAAGTCGGCATAGATCCGAACCATGTAACGTCTTAATAATCACTAGAGTGGAACATACCAGATTTGTCAAAGATGTCAATATCAGTGTCGAGCAGCAACATGCACTCTTCATTAGTGAGAAGGTCGCCGGTCGAAACCGGCAAGTCCCATAGATTCGCACTCATTCTTCGAGATGTTTAGACCCTGGAATTTTTTTAAAGTAACGTTCAAAAAATGTTATTTAAAAACTTTACACTTTGCACATACTTTTTTGAGATTGTGGAAAATGTAGCGTAAATGTACGCACGAATTTTACGTCTTAAATTAAAAGAACATTCAGAGGTAGAATCCTATGACCTAATTAGAGGAACTAGTTACATACAAGGATGTTTTCATAAGGGAGCAAAAAGCTATACACAATATAAGAATAAAAAGTAATATGTGAAGAGCTTTCTTTGTACGTATTTAAAAAAGAAAGTTGTAGGAATGTGAAGTTTGGAATATTTTATGTTCAAGCTTAGAAGAAGTACATAAGGCTAAAATAAAAATAAAAGTGTTACAAATTAAAAGGCTATAATAAGCTACACGTATATGATATAATATATATTGACATGTCATGGTACATAAATCTGTAAAAAGACAGTTAAGTTATACTGACCACTGAAAGAACTCAAAAGCATAAAGAAATCCCAAAGATTAATTTATTATTCAATGTTAGACATAATCTTAATTGAACTTACTTGAGACGAAAGAGCAAATCCTACGGGATCAGATTGCGATGACGTGGTTGATTGGTGTAGCAGGACGAAGTTGTCCGGTGAAGACGCCATGATGGCACTAAAAAAATACACATTTTTAATTTAATAAAAAAAAAACAATATTTTTTAACCACATTTATTTTGATTATCTCCAACCTAAAATCAATCAACGGCTCACAGAGCATACTGGTGTATCTCTTGGCTTAGAATACTTCATTAACATTTTTATTCTACTACTTATGGCATTTTCTAAGTAATTGTAAAATTCCTAAAGATTTCCTTCATGGGAACAGTAATATTGATACTACAATAGCTCTACAAAAAAGCTTCTGAAAACGTCTAATGAAATATATACGTACGACTAGTGTAGCAGACACTACGGCACTCGTATGCCTCCTTAGTGGCACTTAAACAAGGTTTCTACTACTTTCTAAAAACACACAAGAAAAGTTTTAAACATATTTGTACGAATATAGGCCCTGTAAAACTTAGAATTTATACTAATAACGTACCCATAGTGGATATGTACTAAACATGTAAAACAAATAGCCGTACCCTTTCACGCTTTGCTGTGGCACATTGTGGTGGCATTGATGAGAAATGAGGAAAAACGCTGACGCGAAAAATTAAAACATAAATCTATAAAACGGTTTGCATCTGTCCTACTAAAAGTTTAGGGACAGGCCAGGCCAGTAAGGAAAGCAGACGATTAAAAATTTATATAAATTTCATTTCATATTGTTACGTCGGCAGAAGTCGAGGGAAAAAGAAGATGGCCTCATTCTTTAGATGGACGGATTATTTCGCAACAATCATTCTAGATATCAAGGGCTGTCACTGCAGAATCTGCAGATTAGTATGGCAGTCGTTGTCTAGCAGGTCTAGGAAAATGCTAGACAGCAGCACCCAAGAAGCAGGATCTTCCTTCATCACGACCACACGCTCACTCCGCCAGTCGGACTATCGAATATTTTATAAATCGAAGGTGTGGGGAGCTAGTGAGTCATCCTCCAGTAAGCGCAGTAGCGCTACCGTAGTTATTCGAAATAGGTCGCCCCGCCCTACCTATTTTTAATCGTTAAGGTATCGTTCTAACGTACTCTAAAAAATTAAAGTATGCTTGCGTTAAATAGATTATTTTATAAATTATGTCAATCCAACCCTGATAAAAATCATATTTGATAAAAATCAGCCATAATTTACTTTTCTAGCTTTTTCTTGGCTTTTCTTTCTTTCTTGACTTTTTTTTTCTTAACTTTTAGGTTTAGTTATAATAATGATATTTTTATCATAATTATAACTATACAGAAAAAACCTTTTGTAATCAAATTTTTTGAAAGGAAACTTGTTCACAACAGTGGAACAAGAAATATTGTAACTACAGACTTGATAAGAGTTCTCGGTTCAGTGGAATCGCGTAAGTCCTTTAATAAATGCTAAATTTTAATAAATATAATATAACAATGGAATTTAATAAACATTGGTCTAATCTACAAATTCAAAATAATTTCACATTTATGGATACATGTTGCGTAATTTTTTATTTGTTTGTTAAGTTACGTATCCCATGGTACGTTTAAACGTGATTCATGCATCTCCGTCAACATGGCGTCATACTTGTTATAGAGCAAATGTAATGAAATAAAAAACAATGACTCCTTCACAAACTTTTATAATTTTATTTGAAGTGTTGCTCAATGTTACAAACTGCAAAGGATTTTAGCTGCTTTTTTATGGCCAGTCGCCTGCCTGTACCAAGGGCCTTCATGAGAATGCGATTCCTTTTCAGACGGAATAATGGCAATTGGGGTATGGAAAAGTGATAGGTCAATGGAGTCAATAGGGATGAACGGGGAATAGACAAGTTGCGTACTAGTATGTCCGTCCTGAGATTCGAACCAACAATACAGGGACATCACTAACCATGATAGGCTTCACAAAACATATCAAATTATTTTCCGCTGTTTGTGGTACATGTCTATGCTGTTTAATATAGCATTTTTATTGGGTATGCAATGTTTATTTTAACGTACAATGAGTAAAACTGTTTCAAATTTTCGATATAAAATGGTAATTCTTAAAAATAAAGTTTAAAGACAACTCCTGTAGACAATTATATGATCATGATTGATTATACTTACATTATGGCTAAAAAATGCAAAGAAGTCATCTTTGCTAAATTTAGCCTTGAACCACTTTTATGCAGAAGTTTTATATTGTCGAATGCTCTATTTAAAGAAGTGTTTCGTAGGTTCATTTGCGGGTCTTTAATTGATGTTGTCGAGTGAAATAAGAGTAACGAGTGTTGTTATTGCATAGGTCACTGTTATATGGAGGAGCCAAACGAGCAGACCTGTTACCTGATGGTAACTCACTACCAGGGATGGAATAAAATCACAATCACATGTGAAAAATCATATACTTTATAAATCAAATAGTCACTCCTGTGACAGATTTACAAAATCAGTGCTACTTAGTACGCTAGCACAAGACTCGCGAAAGGTCTCAATCTACAAAAAAGGTCGTAATCTTTGATAAAAAGAATTGTGACTGATTTTAATGCCATTTATCTTTGTCTATCACGAAATCACAATCACATGTAAAATCGCTGTGACTAACACTAATCATTTCATCAAATGAATATAATTTAAAAGTAGCAATAATTTCCATTTCTACAGACTACCGCCGCCAATGGCAACTCGAAGAGTCACAAGTAAAGTGGAAGAAACTTAAAATCAACTTTCCAGAATTATTTTATTTCGCAATCACGTCAACAGTGGAAACGTGAGAATAAAGTTTGCAACCCTTTGTTAAGTTGGAACCTGTTTTCTTTCCAAAGAAACCGGGTACGACGGACGAGTATTTGTGAAGCCCAATCAGGGAAACGATAGGCCGATGAATCATCCTGGAATAAGTGATTTTCAGTGACCAGTTATTAATTTAACCAGTGTCGTAAATTGTATGATAATGCTTGACACAAGATATATATTCCTAATGCGGAAGATTTAAAAAGAAAAAGAATGCATTGCGTGCAATGCTATTATTGAGCTTCTGTACTTTGAGTTGCTTAATATAAAACATCACTTATATCGTATTTCATTCTACTATGGCCCAATACTTGATTGCTTATTACACTCAGGTTCAACATTATTGTCACTTCCAATAAGATGATTACGCACGCTCATGATGATTACAAACAAAACAAAAATGCTGCCTAGCTTATAAAAGAGCTAGACAGCATTCTAAATTGAATTCGAATCGTTTATAAACGAAAATAATAACTTGACACATCTCAAACTCTTAGTCATCATCATATCTCGTCAGATACCAAACTTGGAAGAACTTGTACTCTGGCAAGCAGGCTATTGATGACCATAAATACTCGTGGCGTAATGGTTTAAGCGGTCGCCATGCCGCTGAGTGTTTTGGGTTCGATTCCCACATGGGACGACACTGTGTGATCCACAAGTTGTTGTTCTGAGTCTGGGTGTTTTGTGTCCATTTCATGTATGTGGAGAATCTCGCTATAAATACTGGATTATTCTGCATTATACAACGTTTAGGATAAGTACTTTTTCTTCATCTTAAAACTTCTCTAAGTGATGGTAGAGGACAAGGTCATATCAATTTTGCTGATAAGCCTTGATAAGATTGTATTGTCAAACAAAGAGAAACGTTGTTTAGAGCACTGAACAATAAATTTGTATGTCTAAAACACTATGATGATTTGCAAAGTGATTCTAACATCAAAACCAATGCAAATCATTTATTAGGGACTCTAATTACAAATACAGAATTTTGGCAACGCTGCAGGGACTCCAGAATAGACCAGATCTCATAGTCCACGAATGCTACACACAGAAGCTGATTATATTCTTCAGTCTTCTGTATAATCTGCGCACTGTGTGGATGTGGTCTATGGCGCCATATCCGCTCCGAAACCCAGCTTGCTACGGTGGTTGAAATTCGTCGAGTCTTCGAGCAAGACGGTTTGTGATGACTCTCGAAAACAGCTTGTAGACGTACAAGAATTGATGAGGGTCGATAGTTTTTCAACATGGTCTTGTCACCCTTCTTAAAGAACAAGACGATCAGACTACTACTCCACGCTTCCGGAGTTCTCCCTTCAAACAGAACAGCGTTGAAGAGCTTTTGGAGCTCCCTTAATACGGGTTTACCTCCGGCCTTTAGCAGCCTTGTTGTAACGCCATCCTCTCCAGGGACTTTTTACTTTTCAGCTGTCTCTGTTCTGGCAGGTCTTCGGTGTAGTGACGTGTTAATGTGGCTTTGGAGTCCTCATTTTCCGGATCAGGTCGAGATGCATGCGAAGCGTATAACCGGCCATAGAAGCTTTCCACTTCCGA